TCTAAATCCCAAGGCCTACTTAATTCTAAAAAAATATTTTAATATTGAAAAGCGGTCTTTTATATATGCATATATAAACAGATTCACTGGGGTTATGACTAAATGGATATCCAAATAACAAATGAATCGGATTCAAACTCGAGTCAAATTAAATCCGATCCATTTGTATCGCTATTGTGTTCCAATGCCATGATGTATACAATTACTACTTTACTAGATATGGAAGGCTCATGTCTTAAGGTATTTGGATAATGATCAATCCAACTTCATTTTTGATCATCAAAGAGCTCACAAATTGCTTAAAAACTTAATCACTGAGGCTCTGTTTGGTTTGAAGGAAAAAGTAGAGAAAGAAAATAAAAGGTGAGAAAACTTTTATAAAGCTTGTGTACGTTTTCCTACTTTTACTATCCTTTCCCCGCATTTTCCTTCAAACCAAATATATACTAAAAGACAAAGTAATAAATCATTCAATCCACCGTTTCAGCCGTTATCAAAGGGTCGATACTATGTAGTAACACTTATTAGGTCATCATTTTTTTTCTTTTTCATTTTTATCTCCATAGTAGGTCAGTTTGGGTTTAGGTAAGACTCCTCATCTACCTTTCTAAAACCAGTAACAGCCTTCTCCATCTATAAACATCCTTATAGCCATACATAACATTGCTAGCCAAGGATTTTAAAACCAACCCGGAGAAAGAACTGGTCAGGAGTCCAGTTCTCGGGTCGAATTTGGTCCATTTTGACAAAAATAAAAAATAAAAATATTAAAAAATAAAAATGGTTAAAACCGTTCGAATGGTTAACTGTTTGAATCATCAGTTTGCTGATTAAAATCAATAGTTTTTTAAGAAAATCCGGTTTTGGAGAAAACTGGAACCGGTTCTTGGTTTTTCCGGTCCAATCCGGTTTTGAAAACCATGTTGCTAGCCAATAGAAGAGGATAAAGTGAAGTTTACCACACAAGTCTACTCCTTAAGTAGAGATCAAATCAGCCCCCCACAAGACTGCACCCCACAACGTCCCATAGCACATCTCCAATGTGTATTGAGAACATCTCCCAATGATAATACCCAAAATGGTGATATCATCATCAGGAGATGTTCCCAATACACAACGGGAATGTGCTGTGGGACACAGTCATGTAGGGGCTGATTTGAACTCCCTTAAGGCTCAGTTTGGATGGACTATAAATATAAATATGTACCTTACAAATACTGAAATACATACAGAATAACATAAAGTAGAAGGTTTTGTGCTCTACATATTTATATTTGTACTCCTTGCGAATGGAGCATAAGTAACACATTTAGCCGTTTAAATCCTCAAAAGCTATTGCCTCCCATTGTTTTTGATGATATGGCAGTTGTTTTTATTTTGAAAAAACAAAATAAAAAATTTTGGCAAACACCCCATAATGATCACTGTCCAATAAAAAATTAGTGGAGAATATTGATTATTTGTTTCTTATTAAAAAAATGATAAACATTTTTGGGAGATGGAGTCATTAAGATTGGATTGTTTTTGCTGATGTGGTATTGTGGTAATTATTATTTTTTGGTTGTGAAAATCAAAATCATAAATATTAATGGCAAACACTCCCTTAGTGAAAAAAGCCCAATAAAAATTAGTGAAGAATATCAATTATTTGTTTTTTCATATCTAAATAAACATTTTTGAAAGATGGAATACTCATAAAAATTGAATTGTTTTGCTTATGCCGCAAGTGTTTTTGTTTTGAAAACCAAAATCACCAATATTGTCAAACACCCCCTTATTGGAATATATGAATAATTTGTTTTTCTTTTGTAAAACTATACAAACATTTGTTTTTTGTTTTTCTTTTGTTGTGGTAATTGTTTTTGTTTCGAAAATCAAAATAAAAAATATTGGCAAACAACCCTTGAGTGGAAAATATGAATGATTGGTTTTTCTTATGTAAAACTACATAAAAACATTTGAAAGATGGAATCATTAACACACAATTTCAAATCATAAGAACCCAAATAAGAATAAGATAAATAGAAGGGAGAAAGATGTCATTTTGGTAATATAATTCTTGTTGTCACATGCCTCAGAAATCACCAGACTCCCAATTTCGTAATTCTGGACAACTTTAGAGGCTAATTTTAAGTCACCCACCCGCGTTAGAACCCGTCTCTTCTGCTATTAGCTGCTATACTGGCCGATTGGGTCCCACTTGCAGCACTCCTATACTTATAGGAAGAATCTCTCCCTCCCTCCCTCTGTCTCTCTCTCTCTCCCTAACTTATCTCGCTCGTCAGAAACATCGATTGATTTGAAGAAATTGTCTAGAGTCTAGACTTCGTCACTCTTCAATCGTCAGGCAAGTAATTCTGTTCTCCTTTTCCTATTTTCTTCCCTAAATTTCTTTTGATTGATTTATCTGCAATTCTGCTTTTGTGATTCTCTGTATCTTCTCTTCTGCGATCATCTTTTTCTTTTTCGCTTTTGTTTGTGGAGGAATTAGGAATATAAGCGGGCAATGAACACCAAACAGGTGTTTTTGTTTTGAACTAGACTGTGCTTTAATGGAAAATCTGAATTGACGGGGTTCCGTTTATTTCTTGTTTCTGTTGGATTCAAAATTTGTAATCGGGATGAATGGATGATTAGATTCTCGTGCATGTTTCAATCTGCGGTTGCTTTGATTCCTTTTTAATCTGAAAAGCAGTTCACAATATCGTCACTGAGCTATCGGAATCTTCGTCATGCAATCGGAATCAGTTCATACTTGTTGGATCTTCTATCCATTTGCGATCTTTCTTACTCCCTAGATTCCTAGTTTGATCCTCTATCTGGAATCGGGGAAAAAAAACTGTCTCCGTGCTTCGAGAAAAAAAGATCTGATTAACCGATTTTCATCAGAGATATTTGAATTATGACCTGGACTTTCACCTTCTTTCTTCATCGAGAAATGATCTGGTAGCCATTGATCTAAAATTTGATTCTACTACTAAAATTCTGATTTCCTATCGATCATAAGTGGATCCGCTTTGACAAAATGAGCCTCTTTTTTATGGTTCTCAGATCTGAAACCTTGGGTCTTATTGTTCTGCTTCTGAAGTTCGTTCTCAGTTTCAGAGTTATCAAGCTTAATTCTTCAATTAATGGGATTATTTTACGAATTAATTGAGATTATTACCAGCCCGTAAAAGGCGATTTATTTATTTAATTACAAACAATACAGAACTTTTTGTCGCTTTCTTAAGTCTTAAGATCAGATTGCTATTTAATTCGTCTTATCGACGATGCACTCAATTGCTACTCAATTTGCTGGCATTCTCATTCAATTTTCAGTATTTAATACTTACTACTACAATTTCTTCTCCATTATTTAAATAAAGAAATAAAAAGTTAGAATAATTTTATTCTTTCAATTAGCTACTAGACTACTTGTAGAGTATAATCCACTTGGTATGGCAATTTTCTTTTGCCAGACTACCAAATTTACCCTCCATTTTTTGTCAATTATCAGTTGCCTCTCCACCGTCTGATCTCTAGACTTTCCCAAACGTACGGTTGAGGCATTCTATGCAATAGCTGTTGCCATGCACAATCATAGTAACTTTAATTGAGGGTATTAATTGCACTAGAAGCCTGGATGGATGAAACGTGGACTGTGTGTTTCGCCTAGGTGAATATTAACCTGGTAGACCACAGGGAGGAGATCACCCCACCGATTTGATGATCGCGGCCGGCCACGAGTTCTCTGGGGTAGGATCATTCCATCTGGTGCCTGATCTGGGAACAGGTGATCGCCTAAGTGGGGCCAAATCGGTCGGTTTGGATTCTTCTGATGATTTGGCGGTATCGGTGCATTGTATAATGGTACAATTGTTGTGACAAATTTAGCAGTGGGAGGACCCACCTTATGTTTATTAGCAGTCGTTGGGCCAGAAGGGACCAAAAAGAAGGGTCCCACTCTTTAAACTAAGGGGTTTTACAAAAAGAAAGGTGTATGCACCCTGTGCGGGGGGCCCCACTCTTTAATTAGAGGTTTTGTATTTTTAACTCTGCGGAGTTCTTTTTGTACTTCATGAGTGAGCCTGGGTGGGCTTCCCTACCTACTAAAGACAGGCTCCTGGGTGATTGGGTCCCACCGTAGGGCGATTAATACAAGACTGGTGTAAACTCATTCCTTTGATCCTTTCTAGTATTCCTCGTTATAATTAGATACCCTGCATTTGCTGACCAAATACCCGACGAGAAGTTACATCCCAAGTAACCTTTAATTTTTTTTTTAGTTTTACATTTATAAAGTTGACTATAGCCACGTGGCATGTGACTAAAACTTGCTGAGATGAATTTCTAGGGAAAATTTTAGACAATCACTCTGTACTTGGGTGTAGTGAGACATAGCCCCTGAAATTTGTTTTGCGACAAAAAAACCCTGACCTTTTGGATTCCCGTTAACTCCATTGAGTAATTTACCACTTTGCCCATTTAAATTAGTTTTTGTTTTAAAATCCCAACTCTTAAGTGTTTCTCTCAACTTTCTTTCGGATTATCAATATTGAGTATATTTATATTTGTTGTCAATTGGTTGTAATAGAGACTTGGGATTGAATCTCGGGCTTATGGGTTTGGGGTTGGGGATGAGCCCCGTTGTGCAGCCCCATGATGGAGCCAAAAGGAAGTTCGGAAATAGACCAGAGAGAGAGATGTAATATTGTAACACATCCACGCAGAAGGGGGATATTCCCATTGGGAACCTGTGGTGTCTGAGCTCTAATAAAGTAGTGATCGGGAGTTTAAGAAGAAATATAATCCACCGTGGAATATAATCAGCCTAATACGATAAAGAATAAAAGAGATATAGCCACGTGGCACTTGCATTGCACGTGCTATCACGTGCAAATTAAATCGAGGGAGAGTTGGTTTGAAATAGAGGTGGACCAGGTGGTTGGTTAGGTGGAGTACATCTCCGATGGCTGTTGGGACTTGGGACCAGTTGTTGAGACCAGATCTGGACCCGATTTGGTGAAGAGCGGAGAGAACTACAAGAGAGTGGGGGCTGGACTCGTGGGTTTATCGATAAATCAACCCTTTTTCCTAACTGTTGGATCTGATGCAGCCCCATTCTAATGGTAAATTATTATATTTCGTCGATAAATTCTATAGTAGTTGTTTTTGGCTTTTTTAGGATTATTTTCTGTGATCCATTGATTCATTATCATGTGGGTCGACTCCTTGGCAGACTGTCCCAATTGAGGTTCATGATGCCATCCAAGTGTGGGCTCACTGGATAAGGTTCCTGGCTTGGTAATGCTAGCTAGTTGTTGGATGCTTGACCCGACCAACTTATATGGTCTAATGTGATCTGGACTTTTTGTTGAATCTGATTTTCAAGTTATTTTTTATGACAGCCAAAGATTTGAGGTTTGGTACGAGGCTTTTAGTCATGGAAGGAGACGCAGCAGACACTCAGGCAAGTTCAGAATTCCAAGCGAAGGCAGTTGACGTCCGAGAAAGTGATGTCAACCCAGCAATGGCCTCTTCCATTAAGGTAATTGTTAATTATTATAAGCTAGTCCATATCATTATGGTTTTGAAAAAGAAAAAAATAATAAAAAAGGTAAGCTATGCGACAAGTAGAGGTGATGGGCCCTATTACTGGCATAATACACCAAATCAGCTATTTGTGTGCAACAACTCGTCAGTCCGAATCACATGTTTGGATATGACATACGAGTGGCTTTGGTTGGATAGGGGCGGAACATGTATTTTACTAAAGTGCCCTTGTCAATGAAATTTTAGTTTTACCTCCAAAATAATATGTTCTTAAGAATAACAAAACCCATTCATTTATAAATACCGCATCCTGTTTTACCACACTAATTTTTTAATTAATTCATTTTTGTTTCTGGACTTGTTTACAACTTTTCATTCATACAAAGGCAAAAAAGATTTTTTTTTCTGCTTTATTAAGTTTCAAATACTACATGCGGGAAAGGTACCAACTAGCTCAGTTGATAAGGTCTCTGTCCGATCGTAGCAGTGACTTGAGTGCCTTTGACCAGGGTTGGGAGAGGGGGTTATGGGGATTGGGACATGGACTACCCCCGTTTTGTAATCCTATTTGAGTAGCTTAATAGGTACACCCAAGGAGAGGTCTTAGTATTTGACTGAAACCCCATGAACGTATATAAGCAATTACCGTTAGTAAGGTATATAAGTAATACTAGTAAGGTGAACATTTCCAATGCCCATTTAAAAACCTCCCTTATAGTTTCATTTTAACAAATACCTCCCTGAACTTTTTAGAAACTCAACAGAAACCTCCCTTCTGTCACTGTCCTAGACGGAAAGCGTTGGATTGATGCACCAGTTCTTTCCAAATACCCATTTTACCCTTTTATAAATTATTTTACATATAAAATTAATGAAATAACCCCATTTTTAACTCAACAAAACCTCTTTTAATGATCATTTCAGTAATTTTACATACAAAATTACTGAAATATGTTTTTTTGTTGAGTTAAAATGGGATTATTTCAGTAATTTTGTATGTAAAATAATTTATAAAAGGGTAGAATGGATATTTGGAAAAAAACGGGTGCATCAATCTAACGTTTTCTGTCTGGGACAGTGACAGAAGGGAGGTTTTTGTTGAGCTTCTCAAAAGTTCAGGGGAAGTATTTGTTAAAATGAAACTATAGGGGGAGGTTTTTATGATTGTCAGAAACTTTAGGGGAGGTTTTTGTATTTTACCCTATTATTTTTTGGGTTATGTCTAGTTTATCCAATCACAGTCTAAGTTGCGCTTTAGTGAGAGTGGCCAATTTCCTATTTTCTAGATAAATTTGTATTATTTTTTTTTTTGTATCTTAGTGTTAATTTTTTATTTTTCTGGAAAATAATTTTTTATTATTTTTCATTGGCTTATTATTATTTTTAAGTAAAATTATAAAAAAGCATATAAATAATAATTCTATAAGCCACCTTTGTGTTTTGACCCTAACAATGGCCTCCTCTATAGTTTTGAAAAAAAAAAAGTGCAAATACCTCCTTTCCCTTGGCATTTCAATAATGAAGAGATTGAAGTTACCATAATTCCTTTATCATTGTTAATGCATTATCATACACAATTTAAAGTTTCAACTTTATCCTTCACTAATTTATTTTGTGAGACAACTTTCAAAGAACAATTCCCCTTACTCTTCTTGGACAAAGTAAGGCAAAAAGGCTGAAGTGAAGTAAAATTAATGCATTACATTAACATATTTTATTTGGAATAATGATGAAAGGAAGGTATTTGCACCTTTTTTTTCAAAACAATAGGGGAGGTTTATGTTAAGGTCAAAACACTGGGGAACTTCATAGGGTTGTTAGAAAACACAAGGAGGTTTTTATAAATTTTCTTATTTTTAAATGGAATTTAAATTGATTTTAAAATAATTAAAACATATTTAAAATTCACATTTTATATTAATTTTTGAAATTAGTAAAAATTAAATTTAACTATGTATATGATATTTTTATTAAATTTAAATTCCTTATGAAATTTAAATAACTATATTAAGTTTTTATTTTTAGTAGAACTTAAGTTGGTTTTAGATTAGTAAAAATTAATTATAAAACTAATAATTGTTAGATAATTTTGTATTAGTTTTATATTAATTTTTAATTTACCTTTTTCCTCTTATTAATTAAATTCTTTTATTATATTAATAAAATATTTTTTATCAATAACAATAATTAATAAATTATTATTTTTATACAAGTAACTAAATTATTTTTATTATGGTTGATTAATTTTTATTATCTTCCAAATGGAATATAAATGAATTATAAATGAGACTACTTTTATCAATTCCAAGATGTACTTTTGGAGGCAAAAGAGGGTGAACCTCAGTGCAGTGGTTGGGTTGCTCCATTTTGACCTGGGTGACCAGGGTTCAAATCTTGGAAACAGCTTCTCTGTGTATTTGTGGGGTTAAGCCTGCATACATCTGTCCCTCCCTTAGACCCTACATTGGTGGGAGCCTCATGCATTGAGCTTCCCTTTTTTTTTCCACTTTTGGAGGCAAAACTAATGTTTTTGACCAAGGGCGTTTTGTGAAAATATCTATTTCCATCTTAATTTTGTCTCTTCCATTTACAAACCCCCCGTAGTTTCGTTGTCAAAAGTTATTGGGTAAACCTGGTCAACAAGACTGCATTATAACCCATGCTAATGGCACTTCATAAATAATTCATCTTTCTCATGGGCTCATGGCAGTACTTGAAAATCCAGCTAATTAAAATTCTACATTAAGATATTGATATTTTTGTGCTATAAATAGTAGTTTATTCTAGATTTCAAATTCAAAATATTTAGTTGAATGAATTTTGTATGCTAAATTGGTAATTGCTAACATAAGGTTTATCATGTCCCAATTTACATGATTGCATTCAAATTCTAATATCAAGATTAATGAAAAACAAGGCTTATAATTGTTTTTGGGCCAACTTTGATTCTTTTTTCATAAAGTATAGACATGCTACAAATTTTAAAGAAAATACAGGATCATTCTCATCTACACCTTTTCCCAACCATATGCGGTCAACCACATTAATCCTGTTCCACCATTCCATTCTGTTCAATGCCATTATCAATTATTAAATTATGGGACCTTAAATCATTTCTCACTACTTGTTAATTTGATTAGATATGTTAACAAGTAAGATAAATTTAAATTTCAAATGCGGATTACTTTTCAACCTGGTCCAGAACCAAAACTTTTACCAATATTTGAGTGAAACTTTAGATCCAATCAAAATTTCAGAAAAGGATTGAATAAAAAACTATATATTTTGGTTTATCTCTTACATCTTTTTATAACTCTTATCCTTCTTGTTTGTATCCTTAGGCTTTTCTTAATTCTTCCATGAGCTATTTTTAATAATTATTTTTAGTTTGTTAATTTTATTAAGTGGGACATAATATATTTTGATGCATGTAAAATGAGGTTTTTCCAAACACCTTGAGGAATAAAATGACATTTTTCATGGAGTTGATTAATCCTCTCATGATAAATTGCATTAAAAAACTGATATCTTGGTTTAAGTTCTGGTAAAAAATATAAACTTTTAAAAAGAATGTTAGAGAAAATAATGTGGATCCAACTATTCTTCTAATAAAACTGAGGGGAAGCCCAGTGCATGAGGCTCCCGCCAATGTGGAGTCTGGGGAGGGACAGTTGTATGCAGCCTTACCCCTGCACATACAGAGAGGCTATTTCCAAGATTTGAATCCTGGTCATCCAGGTTACAATGGAGCAACCCAACTGTTGTGCCAAGGCCCACCTTCATTCTTCTAATAAAACTGAATATTGTTAAAAATGATTGAAGGAACCAACTAAATTCAGATTGTTATTAACCTGTTTTCTGTTTCAATGAATGTCTGACTCTGAAATATTGCACAGTTTTCTAAAATATGATATTTGCAGTATAGTTAACAGTGTGACTAGGTGATTGCCTAGGCATTTTCAAGGACCATCTCCTAGGTGGCCAGCTAGGTTAGCAGTTTAAATAAACATCTAGTGGAGGCAAATAACCTCCTTCATGTATTTGATATGAGTGTATGTATCCCAATTTTGGTCTATAGGAGCTTACATAAAGCCAAAAATTAGGGCTCTTATTTCTTCTGTATATGTGTGTTTTCCTTTGAACTAGTGAGATTATATAAAGATGTTATTTTTTGTAAAAATGGATTATAAGTTGGAATTTCATCATTTATTAATTTAATTTGTGGTTTCTTATAACTAATATATGAGATTCCATTATACTTATTTGTGATCATACTCATTTTATATTGCTGGGTAGTAAAGGGTGATCATTTGAGAATGTTCTCTTTTTGATGGACAAAACAAGCTCCTATTTAATAGAGTAGAAAGCTTGCTGAATTAAAAAATATGAAATAAAAGGAGTTTCTTGAAGAAAGAAGGAATAGAGAAGGTGAAGAAGAGAAGAAGAGAAGTTGAAAAGAAAGGAGAGCAATAATCTGCCCGCCCCCTTCACTTATTATTTATATTAATAATAATAGAGTAGTACAAAGACAACTAT